TTGTGGGATCGCTCCTGTGCGTTTCTGACGCCTATTGGGGTTGGTTGTGATGATCATTAACGTGGAGGGTTTTGGTTGTCAATCAGGTTGACCGGATAAACTACGAGATGGCGCCCATTCCAATTTTGGTGCCAGCACCCACAGTCACAACACGCTTGACTGCGAGGAGGTCCTTGTCGCGTAAGACGGAGGTGGTGGTGTCGAACCCAGTTCCAGCCATTCTTCGGAGGAGCCAGAGAACGGCAACGCAGAAGGCTTTGGATCAGGAACCAAAAGGTGAGGGGTTTTCACTTCCAGGATCAACTTGTTTCTACTGTTCCATTGCTTTGGAGGGATCCTTGGGGGAGAAGGGGCAACCTTTGATGCTGTTTTCCTTGTTATGACAACCATTAGTTCCATGCTGTGTCAATCAGGAGCATCCATTTCTTCTTAGCCTACGAACCAGAACCCTACCATTAGTTCCATGACCTATCTATAGTTCTGAATAGTTGCATTCCAAAATTCATTGAATCGTTGCTTGCTAATTTGTGGTGTGTGCTCATGGAAACCTTTTACTAGTTGTGTATTCTGATGCATACTAGTTGTGTATTCTGATACACCATTGTCAGGAGAAGATGACATCACTGAAGTGAAAGAAAGGGCTGCTTCTAAGATGCCGCAAGCTAAGCTGACATATGAGACTTGTGAAGACGACGACCTTGATGAAGATGAGGAATGGGCTTTGAATGATGATGACTCTGCCGAGGAAATTGTCTCTACTGACGAGAGTGACGAAGTAGCTGGTGAGACCCATGAGGAGAATGACACTGTTTTCACCAGTGGCTTACTACAGGAGTTTGACGGCGAGGTGGACACCGGGCCCGACCAGGCAGCTGTAAACGAGCTGCTCGAGGATCTTCAAGTCATAAGCTTAAATATGCTTCGAGCCACGTACAACGAACTCAAAGACAAACAAATCATCTGAGTACTGCATAGGTACAACGACCTAGGGATGTCGTGTTGGTTCGTAATAAATCTACTTACTTCTGTTTTAGCGGCGAAACGCTATGCAATAGTATCGAAGCATAAGAATTCATCCTGTGCTATTCCATCACCGGAAATGAATGCCAGCTTATATACCTGTTATTTTATACTTCCTCCGTTCCAAATTATAAGGTGTTTTGATTTTTTTAAATACATAGCTTTTGCTATGCACCTAAATACATAGTAAGGTTAATGTCTTTAGAAAAGCCAAAGCATCTTATAATTTAGAACAAAGAGAGTAGTAAACTAAAATTTTGTGTTATGTTTTAGGAGTACTTAATGTAGACAAAGTTGCGACAATAATACCAGCATCTTGTGGGAACACTATTTCTTGTAGATTTGAAGACATGGTTTGGTGCTAAATAGCTTATTGTAACTGTGCACTGGTACCCAGCTTCTTGTAGAATAACAGTTCATTTTTCTCCTTATTTAGAAAGCACTGTTGTATTTGTAGAGAGTGATGACTTCAACTTATCGTAGCTTACCGAGAACTTGTATGGATCAATGCTGTCTATCTCAGATAAGAGTTTTGCGTTCTGTCACAGGTGACTGTTATAGCTGTATAGATTCCTCCGACACTTTTGCTGTACATTGTAGTTCTATACGCTAACCTTCCAATGAAATATCAGTGGCAACATATTTCTGATTGAGCAAATGTAAGTGTCTGGGATCTCTTGATCAAGGTAGCAAAAGGCAGTTGCAGGTATACAGTACTTTTTTGGAAGGCAGCTAAAAAGTAAAGTCACAATTGGTCTTGCTTCGGCTTCATCATAGTTTTTTTTTTTTAAAACGAAAGATTTTATTGCATTCCAGGAGTTCTTCATCATAGACTTAGCTGTGTTTGCATGGGGCATCCCTTGAGAGGCGTTTGACCGGTAAAGTTTTCGTACTTCTGCTAGAACCGAATTTATGGGAAGTCTACCCAACAACTTAGCTGGACTACTTAACCGTTTGGTTCCTGACATCGGATGTTTGGACATTAATTTAGAGTATTAAATATAGATTAATTATAAAACTAATTACGCTAATGGAGACTAATTTACGAGACGAATCTATTAAGCCTAATTTGTTCACGTTTGTTAATGTGGCGCTACAGTAAACATGTGCTAATGATGGATTAATTAGTCTTAATAGATTCGTTTCGTAAATTAGTCTCCATCTGAACAATTAGTTTTATAATTAGCTCATGCTTAGTCCTCCTAACTAGCATCCGAACGTCCAATATGACAAGGACTGGCATCCGAACGTTCGATGTGACGGAGATTAAACTTTTGTCCCTGTATCCAAACATCCCTAACTTGGGTCATTTGTCTTGCTTGTAACCTTGTCTCCCTAGCATGTAAATCTAAAAATATTTGTTTGCTTCCTAAAAGGCAGTTATTATCTCCTCTAAAAGACAGGATATACTAATATATGAAAGGGAGATTGGTGTTCTTACTCCCGCTTTGAAGGTCGTCAATTGTGATTTCACTCTCAATTTTTTAACTTATGATTGTACCCATGTTTGTTTGGATCCGAAACCCCTGTATGCCCTTGTTCTAAGACTTGTTAGCTGATAGCAATGTAAATGAATTAAGGAATAGAAAAATAAAAGACAATACTAACCCTTGATGTTATCCTAACTCTCTAGGTTTCGCCGATGGTTTATTAAGTATGTGCACCTTATTAAACTTTGCTTATAGATTTGAAATATTTACAAATTTTTCTATAAAAATCCTTTTGAAATGCTCTCAAAATATTTGATTTAAAAAAAGAGTTGGAATCACTTGTCTTTTTTAGCTAAACTGACACCATTAACTCCTATAAATAGAATAGAGGTAAAATCTAGTTTCATTTTGAAAAAACAGTGACAAATCACAAAGTCAAATGAATGAGGGTGAAATCACAATTAAATTTTCAAAACAAGGGTAAAAACATAAGAGCCCCTGTGCCATTCTCAACAATATATCAATCTTAGCTTTCCCAGCAATGGAAAACAAAAAAATTTGAGAGGCCATATTTTAGAGCGAAACTTCATTTCCAGGAGTGCATACGTTGAGTAATAACAAATTAACCTAGTCGAGAATAATAAACTCTGTAAATCGGCGAAAGAAAAACACCCAATCATCAAGTAGTTCGTGGGGGACGTGCTGGGTGTCTTCCTTTTTTCTGTGTGTGCCCAGTGGGGCTTTCCGGTCTTCCGGACTTTCCTGGACATATAAATTTCTTTCCTTCCTTAATTGAGAGGCAGAGCTCCTGCCAGGTTTTTGAAAAAAAACACCCAATCATCAAGTAGTTCGTGGCACGCCCTGTACATGAAGAGTAGTACTGTACATCCAAATAATGTACGGAAGTTCTTCGGCTGAAAAACATCGTATAAGAAGTGGCTTAAAAAAGCATGCTCTCTGTTTCCATCATCCTCAATATAACAGATGTCACACTATTACGAACAATCCTGGCCAAATCAAATAGAAAGAATACTGCCCTAGGGGCTAATCCCGTCAAAATGCCAGATGTAAAAAATGTTGCTCGGAAAAAAAAAAGTGGTCTAAGTCGACTTGCACACTGCCTATATAAAGATTACATGTCTGCACTCTGATTATTAGGTAAGTTCATTATTATTTCCTTTTAGTATTTTCATTAGTTTTAGTTTTCAGTATATATTGTTATTTTTTATATTGAGCAATATCCTTTTATTCAATTTATTCTTTTTAATTTATTTTAGTTTAAGCCATTTCAGAATTTCAGCGCACATTGTTAATTTTTTTAGTTTTGTAGCTTTTGTAAGTTGTAACTGTATGACGTGTCATTTTCCAGTTTCAGTTATCTGATTTTTCGAAACTCTTTTTCAGTTTTATTGTTTTTTTTTTGTGACTTGTTTTAATGTTTTCGTTATAGTTTCAGTTGTTTGAGTTAATTAGAAACTCTGTTTCTGTTTTAAGGTTTCCTTTAGTTTCAGTTGATTGAGTTCATTAGAAACTCTGTTTCGATTTTAAGGTCTCCATTCCCCTCTTCAGTTTTTTCCCTTGTAGTTGGTCTCATTTCCTGCTTCTGCAATGTCTGTTGTTATTTGTGTAATAATGCAATCTCCAATGTTTTCAGTTTGCTAATTCTCTTCAAATCTACTTGTTGTGAACATTGATGTCTGCAAATTCAAAGGATCATTAAATTGGCTAGTATTTTTTTCAGGGTTCTAATTTTTGGTTATCAACACAGTAGTTGTTGATATGACCTCAAATTTTGAAGCATCTCGCAGGACTAAATCAGTGAAGGTAATTGTACCTCCTCGTATCTACAGCTACATGCACATGAGCAGGAGGTTGCCAATTCGATAAGATCTGGGTGATCTTCGTTGGAATTTCAATCACTTTCTATTGTTTTATGCCACTGTAAATTCTGGGTAAATTCTTTTCCCTTTATCTACCAGATTCTGATCCGGTTTCAAAATGTACGTGTCATGAAATGATTGGACACAAAACTGATTGATAAATTGAGACAAAATCAACCGAAAGATGTGTACTAACTCCCTATAAAGTTGTTTCTGGCATGCATGCAGTGGCGGAGTCAGAAATATGTATACGAATTTTTTCTTTGTTATAGGAGAATCTGCGGTACAATTTACTCTGTATAAAAGATGAGGCCAGGACAACCTGCCATAGTTCGGCTCAAACATAAGAATTGGCTTCTCAGTAGGGGTTTCGACCCCTCATGTTCCTTCAAAAAATATATAAGAATTGGCTAAAAAACATGCTTTCTGTTTCCATCATCCTCAATAAAAAGATGTTGCACTGTTATGAACAATCCTGGCAAAAACCAAATTGAAAGAATATTGCCCAAGGTACCAGTCAAAATGCAAGATTTTTAAACTGATACAAAAAAACGCCGCTCAAGAAAAAAAAGAAACTCTCATCTACAATTATTATCTCACTGGGGTAAAAAGAATTGACTGGATACACTGCATATGAATGCACCAAGCAAACTGAAGACCGGAACCTAGCTTAGCTAGGAATGTGTAGGGTGATCATCGCCGTTTCCATTGCCATGGCCATGGCCATGCTGTGTTGACAGATAATCGTCACCATGGCCGCCACTGCCGCTAGTAGACGCCTTTGCAAATCTGCCTTTGACTCGGTTTCTTGTGTCTGCTCGTACCTTCCGGGATACATACATGATCTGCTTGCCAAACCTGCAAATGCAAAAATCACAAAGGCTGTGTTACACACAAACATTTCATATAGACCGAACTAAAAAATTAATCTTGTGGAACAACCAAGATATACCGTGGAACAGTAACAAATTGATTGCTAGGATTATCCAAATAGACACCACATTATGGCAATGCATTTTTCACTACTAGAACAACAGATAAAGTAATGTTATTTTAGTCAGCAACATTGAAACATGACCAAAAGAAAAGGGATCAGGTTATATAAGAAAAATATGAGGTTGATAGGTACATGTAAACAAAGATGTTAAGTTTAACATAAAGTACCCTAATCAGATAATGACTGCAGTGTAATTGTGGTGACACCTAAAATAGATCTATTCCCAGAAAAAAGAACTGTGGAAGACACATGATTGTCCCACACAAATAACAACTACAGTATAGAAAACTAAAAGAAATTCGTGGTGAGAACATTGGTAATGCCGAGAAAACAAACCTGGCTGAGGAATAAAGGGAAGATTTGTCTCAATAGGTGGCTGAGTCTGGACGTCTGGATACAACTGAGACCTTTCTCTTTCCATAATGTTGTTCTTTTTGTCCATGATGGCACGAAGCTCTTCAGCCGTGAACTTCTTCTTCTTGACTTCTTATGAAGATCACATTACAGATACAAATATTTATTCCTGCTGTTTAAGGTCCTGGTATTAGTAAGAATCTAATAAAAAAACATTAGAAGATAACTAAACTAAAAACTGACACTGACATCAGTAGCAAAGAAGTACTAACAACTATAGTTGTCAGGAACCAAAGAGACATGGAAATTATTAACCATTTCAGAAAGTTAGTAACCCTAAAGATATATTATAGATCAGATATGCAGTCTTTGAATTCGCATGATTGCAAGTCTACAACCAACATTTTCAACAGAAGCAGCATAATAAGTAGAGCACCTGAAAGTCCCAATGAACCAAAGCATATATAAAATTTTTATTTTATTTTTTGTAAGCTCAAGTTAGCATCGCTGGACGCGGTTCTATTACAGTTCAGTAAAATAAACAAATGTACTTGCCAAATGATGACTAGTCATGCAAGTAAAGAACATGCCAACTGAATTATGTTTTGAATTAGAGATATATTAGGCTGAGAAGAACTGCAGTTCCAACTGAAAACCCTTGTTGGTTTCCATCAACAAAATCAGCAATGCCTACATAAGAGATACACGGATGGCAATTAATATTCATAACCTGGAGGGGGAGGGACTGTCAATAAATGGAAGATATTGAATTCTTCGTACCTTTTGAGGCTTCTCGAGCAACCTGACAAAGAATGAATCATCATGAGTGTCTCCAGGAAGCTTCAGTTATTTCAGGCTTGAACTATAGTATTAAGACATAGGGAGGGATGGTAAATTCAATTAGCATAATTCAAAGTTAAAAACGGAAAACCATATCAAGCACTTAAAATAGAGTAGTTCAAATATAAAAACCATTCTGGTTATTCTTTGCATATCCTGGTCAGATGGTTCAGTTCACATTCTACTAAAGGAAAAAAGCAGACTTCGCCAAAACTGTACTCCTAAACTTCCAGCACACAAATCATGTTTACCAGATTATATTAATCATGAAAGGCAGTTACATCAAACTTAGAATGAGCCCTCTTGTTTTTCACTGCCAAATATTAAACTGAAAGGAGGTCTGCGCATAATGGGTGCAATCCTATTGTATTGAGATGAAACAAGGAGATGCAGTGCCGAGTACAAAGATATGAATAATCACATACCTTCCCTGTAATAAGAGGGATTAGAAGTTTGGTGACCAGACTTCTAAATAACTTCTCAGACCTCAGTTCCAGTGCCAATGTATCTGCAAGAGATCTGAAATTAGACATGGTACAAATCTGAAATTAGATTTTGAATAGACATGCTCCTGAAAGTTTAACTAACTTTGCTATTAATCTATAGAAATATTTTCACACATAAAAAAAATTGACAGACCGATGGGCTTTAGTCCCTGGTATTCCAAAGCAGCAATGGTTGTTGCTAATGTCAGTAACCAGTCTAAACTCAGATGAATATACAACTAAACATCTAGAACAGGAATGCCAAGCTTAACAAAAGAGATTCATTACAGTGCAATTTTTTTATCTACAATCCAATTCCTTTACCCGTCTGGGGACTGATGGGTTATGTTTAAGAAACTATCATGTCAGTGGATACTCACTTGACATGTAAGACAAAAAAAAAAGAAAAGAAACACATGATTTCAATCAAACTCAGCTTGGAAGACAATCAAAAGTAACACCTTGCTATGGATATTGGATCTATCAGCATTTTACGTTCAATGAAAATCATATGTTTAATATATGAAAGAAATAGTAAACTATGACTGAAGTACTAGATTAACAACAAGCAAATAAAGTTTTTGCCAATGTAAAAATATATGGAATAAATATTGTAGTGTAGTATATATTAGTTCACGGTAATCCCTGAACAACCATTACAGTGATTTATGGCACTTCGATCTGCTTTATGCTGTCACAATCAGAATATTGATAAAATGAAGAATGAGCTCTGAACATCAGTGGAAGAAGACTTGCTAATCTATTTTTTATATAATGAAAACTATGAAGTGTGTCAACTATCGATTGAAATACATGCCGCTTACACCCAGAACGCTTTGAAAGATCAGAAAAAAACAAAAGAAATAGTACTAAGTGTAACATGAACAAAGCGTATTATAAATTGCAAAGAAAGTGGGGAATAAAATGGACCTTCTCCTTGTGGTCGAGTATGTTGAAGAGCACGTCGTCTCTACTGCCGCGGGATGGAGCCTGGAGGATGACGGCCGTCGGTATGGAGACTGGAGACTGGGGGCCGGCGACGAGGGGATCTGAGACGGGGAAAGTTAGCAGTGAGGAGGAACCCTAAACACTAAATCTCGGGAGCAAACCTGACGAGGGGATCTCAGGCGCCGGCAGTGCTCGACTACTAAATCTGAGGAGCCGGGAGTGCTCGACTACTACAGCTCGCGAGCAGTGCTTGGCTAATCAAGCAAATGTAGGGGCGGCGGTGAATCAATAAGAGGATGTGAGATGTGGAAGACAGGGGCTCCATTGTTGGAAGAGATCTGAAAAGAGACAGGATGTGAGAGATGTGGAAGACGCAGTAAGCGGGAGGGGGGCGCGGAGAGGATTTCGTATTTGGAACAGGAGAGCGCCGATATGACGAGACGAGACCGAGCGGCGAGATGACGAGAAATTGGGAGAGAAAATAAAGCAAAAGCCGGTCGAACTAGTGGTAGGCACGTGTCAAAGCGTAGACGGGCGTGGGTGGGTGATGTGCGGCTCTAGATAGCCAGAGTTGCCGCACATGGTTTTTTTTATTGTTTTCGGAGTTTCTAGCGCCCGGACGTCCGGCGCGCGAGTGCGTCCGGACGCCGGTGCTTTAGTAAACCCACCCACCCCAGTAAAAGAAGTAAGGAACCGCCCGCCCCTAACGACCCCGCCCCAGTCGAAAAAAGAAAGGAACCCGCCCACCCCAACGAGCCCGTCCCACCCTACACGCACGAAACCCGCCACGCCGCGCTCCACACCAAAAGAGCACGCAGAAGGACGCTACGCCCCCATCTCCGTCGCGCCCCGTAACCACTGCGTCCATGTACAAAGAGCATGTAACACTTCAACATCGAAAAATATCTACTGCAACAACGAAAAAAATGTACTACAACATTGAAAAACATGCACTTCAACATCAAAAAATATCTGCTGCAACAACAAAAAATGTGCTACAACATTGAAAAACATGTACTGCAATATCTCAAGCAGTAGTACTGCAACACCGCAAAAACATCTGTTGCAACGACCGAAAAAATCTCATTGCAACATTCGAAAATCATCTGTTGAAACATCCCAAAACACCCATTGCAACACGAGGAGGGAATAGCGACCCAGAGCTCGCGGAACCCTAACCACCACCGCGTTCCTCAGATCCATAGCAGCAGGAGGAGCAGGAGGAGGAGGAGGAGGAGGGAAGCCCTCAGATCCAGAGGAGGAGGAGGAGGGGGGAAGCACTCAGATCCAGTCATCCGGAGGAGGACCGTCCTTACCTCGTCGGAGCCGCCGCGGTCTTCCTCGTCTCCGGTGGGAGCAGTGTCAAGCGCGGGTGCCATGGAGGTCGTAGAGGGGCAAGAGACGAAGGGAGGGAGGAACCAGGTCACTAGGGGCGCAGGGTAGCAAGTCGCGGGAGGGGAAGAGGGAGGGAGGGAGCGCCGGCGGATGGGACGGCAGCGAGCGCCCAGGGGCACGGCGGTGCTCGCATGGGGAGTAGCAGAGTGTGGATGGGGAGCAGCCGAGTCGGAATGGCGAGGTCGGAGGAAATCGATGCAAACGTCCTTGTTTTGTTCGGCAGCGTGGTTCGATTGGGCCACATGCCTAGGTGTGCGGCGTCTGGATGGGGCGGACGCCCACACAGTATCATTACCGTTGATTTTTCGGTTGGCAGCTATGTTTATACCTGTCGCAGTGGATTGATGATTTGCAAAGGTTTATAGTTGATAAAATCCGACAATCGCCATGTTTTTCTAAGACCAAAGTGCTAGAGAATAATTGATAGTAAAATTCAATAACAAAAGCAATTCATCATTTCGGTGAAAACCAATATCATATATAAAGTCCTATATAGTGACAACCGACAATATATGGCAGTTGATAATTGATTGAAAAACAATATATATAACTTGGGTATAATCATGCATTTAGACAACAAGGATTCTATCTTAAAGGGTTAGGTTAGGTAGGAAAGGAATACTCTTAGGAATTTTTACAACCATATTTTAGAGCGAAACTTCATTTTCAGGAGTGCATACATCGACTAATAACAAATTGACCGAATCGACAGTAGTAAAATGGCCTCTCCCTAAGGGCAGCTCCAACAATTGACTTTTAAGATAACTCTAAGCATTTTTCTCATATTTTAATATAAGAGAGAAAAGCTAGCTGTTGCGCACATTTTAAGGTTATGTGAGTGTCATGTGGGGCTACCCATGTTAAAAGCTATGGACTAAAAGTAAGCACTATTGAAAAGCTTAGAGCTAGTAACTAGCACTAACCATTGCGGGTGCCCTACGTGCCTCCTGATATACCACTTTCCACAAAAGCAAAGGCAAAGCATAGAGTGGGGAGCAATATGAATATTTTCAATGCAATCAGGGACATCAACAGTTGATGGCATCAAACACGCAAGCACAACTCAGTCCTTTGCAATATGTTTTTATGCAGAAACTTTAACCTGCATGTTGATACAAGTAAGATACTCATTCTCTTTTATCAGGGATGTGAAGATGGGGTACAGGAGGCTAAAGGAGAAGGTCAAGGAGTACAAAAGAAGGGATGGCAAATTGTATGGCAACATGATCTCCAAGCTGAGCAAGCTTGAAGACACGGAAGACAATGTAAGTTCCCTCCTCAACCCTCGCCCTAACTTGCCCTGTGATACCTTGATGGCCATTGGTCTAACTGTCAATTTGCTGTTGTTGCTGCTTCAAGGACCAAATGAGTCAGGCACTAAACAAGAAGCGTGGGCTCTTATGGCCACTGACAGAAATGCTTAGGAGATTCTTCACTACCGATGGTAGCAAGGGGTCCACGCTGTGGCTTGTGCTGAGGCTATTGATTCCGGTAATACTATTGGTTGCAGTTTGTGTCGGTTACTACATGAACAGCAGTGTTCAAGAGACAGACTGCATTAACTGTTAGTTGAGCAAGGTATCTGGCAGCCTGTTCGCTTGCTCGTAAACGATCGTAAATTTTCAGTCAAGAACAGTGTTTTTCTCTCACACTAAACCAGCCAACAGTAAATAATCCACGATACGATACGGCCTCCCGAACAGGCTGCTGTTCTCGCCTTCTCTGCTTTTCACGGGACAAGTGTTTATCGTCGTATAGATGCGAGTATTATACGTATTTGTTAGCTGTGTGGGTTGAGGACTTGAGGGTGAAGTCTTGACTACTTGTACTGTACTGTTCAACTTCACTTGTCTAATAGTTACTTCCTCTGTCTCAAAAAGAATGATAATCTCATTTTCCCAGTAGTCAATCATCTTGAGTTTTACTAGATCTATAGAAAATATTATTATTGTATCTATTATAAATAAGTTTACTATTAAGATTTATTATACGATTAATCTAATAACACTTATTACTTGTCAAACTTGAGATTGATTAACTTTCGAAAAGTGAGCTTTATATTCTTTTCTCTTCTTGTGTCACACCCCGGACGTGACTCTGTCGGAGGAGCAGCTGGCCGGGGCGTGCCTCGGGAGCATCGCCGGGGAGCCCCCGGGCATCAGTAGCCCAGGTGCTCATCTTCTTACGTCCGGGCCTTGGGTGGCATCGGTAGCCGGGCAGGAGCCAAAGGCCGGGTGTGGTAGCGATGTGGATCGGATGCCCATGGCTCGGGGCAGCCCCCGAGCCTCAGGCTGAAGGCGTTGTGGGGTCAGGTGTAACAACCCAAAAATCTATACACCAAAAATACCAGCTACAAAATTTTTCTCAAGAATCCCATGTGATGATGAGTGCCATGTATAGAAACCCAACCTAAGAGATGCATTAGGTCTAACCTAACCCTAGCCAACATATAAGCATGGCATGTCATTAGATGATTGTGTTTATTAATTTCCAACAAATATAATGTTGCATACATTGTTAAATTCAAAATGTGATTTGGATTTCCATTTGAGTTATGATTGCTAAACAACTCCAATAAAATAATAAACCATAAAGTTATTATTAAACAAAATTCCCTAAACTCCAATAAATAAGTCACCTCAGTTGTGAAATCAAATTTCAAACCAAATTGAATTCAAACAAATAGAAAAGAAATGAAAAATAGAAAAGGAAGAAGAGAAGAAGGCCTCCTAGCCACCGCTTTCGCCCAACCCAAGACGACCAAAGAATCGCCCAATGCCAACCACCCGGCCCATTTCGCTTAACGCGACCAACCACCACTTTCACTCATGTCTCATGGCCCACTTATGCCCAACGTCGCCACGCGCCCCGTCGTACACCTCGCTTATGTCGCCGCCACCTTGGCCCACGATGTCGTCACCGACGTTGCCCATGCCCGCGGCGTCTCCCGTCTCTCGCTTACCACCACCGCTTTGCTAGATCCCGCAGACGTCGGCACATCAGTGCTTCTTCCCCGCGCCGCACTCAAACCACCGCGCAGCATGAGCCCGGACAAAGAATGGCGGGGGGCTGTGGTCATGCCCGGGGCATGGTCCTGTCTCCCCCTTGCGCCACGCCCACGCAACCCCGCGCACACCGTTGGATGCAAGCTCGTGCCCCGATCGCCCTTGAATTCCCAACCGCCGATCACCGGGCTCGCCGATCCCCACTCGGCTATAAGAGCCTCGGCCGAGAGCCCTAGCGCTCGTCCCGTCGCCCGCCGCCACCTCGGTGGCCAACCTCAGCACACCCGAACCAAGAGAGAAGAGGGAGAAGGGGGAAGAAGGGGGAAAGGGAAACGCCGAAGCCGCTGCCGGGGAAGGATCGGGAGCATGCCGGAGTTCAAAGCACCGCCACGGGTCGACACTGCACGGCTTCCGGAGCTACACGGCCGCAACTCGTCATGGCACCGCTATCCTCTCTTCCACAGCACCCACGGTGAGCCCTCCTTCCGATCCCTCTGCTTGCCGCCGGACTCTGTCACACCGGCCATGGCGCTCCACACCAGGAGCGTGTAGGCCAAAACGTCATGGTCATTGGGGAACACCCGCACCCACGCACACGTCTATGACCACGCCGTGACTACCCCGCTGGAGCCCCATTGATCACCCGCGCGCCTCGCCGTCGTCTCCATGGCATGTGGCCGCCGGGAAGTCCCTGCCGACCACATGGAAACGCCGAAGCCCCACCTTGAGCCCTGGACACTTCACCGTGCCCCCACGGACTCGCAGTAGCCTTTACCCGCTCAGCCGAGCCACCTGGAAGGCCGCACGCGCGACTTCACCGTCGGCAAGCACTACTGAAGCCGCCGCCGCGCGTGGCAAAGACCTTGAAAGCTCTAGCCGCCACCTTGACCCCATAGACGCAGCGATCGCCGTGGCCTGGGAAGCTTTTCTCCTCCCCAATCGGACACGAGCCATCATGCGGGGCTCACCATGAGCTCATCGCATCGGCGGGAGCACCGCCATGTGATGAAAAACAGGGAACACCCCTCACCGGCCACCCGTGCGTAGGCTCGGTGCACGTGAGCCGAGCCAAGGAGAAGAGACGGTGGACTTGGCCCACCATGCGCCCTGCCGTAGGTCCATGGACCATGAGCGCTGGTCCACCGTGAACCACACGGTGTGAGCCGCGCTGTGGACAAAGCCCAATAAAGGCCCACGACTACGCGCGTGGCGGCATCCTGGCGTGCCACGTGTCCGTCCGGTCCGCCCGACCATCGCCCAACCCGAACCCACCAAAGCCCAGTTCGGACCCAGCCCGTATTGACCGTTGACCGGTCAACGTTGACCGTTGACCTGGCCCCACATGTCAGCGACACAGTGTTGCTGGACCCACCGTCAGACGATGACGTCATGCTGGCGTCGTGATGACATCACGCGGGACCCACATGTCGAAGCCGAAGATACCGGTAGGTGACGTCATGTCGACGTCATGCGACATCACCGATGATGTCAGCAGCCCCGCCCCACACGCCGCTGACCACGACCGCTTGACCAAGACGTTGACTCGCTCGCTGCTTGACTTTGACCGAACCCACCTGTCGGTGAGCATGACGTTGATGACGTCATGCTGACGTCATGCTGACGTCAGCTAAACCCACCTGTCAGCTCGGAACCATGATGCTGACGTCATGCTGACATCAGCAAGCCACGTGGACCAACCCCAGCGTGACACGTGTCAGACCAGGATTAATTCAGCCTTTTTTCCATTTTCAGAAATAGATTTAATCTTCGGAAATTCATAACTAATTCATACGACCTCGGAAAAATACGAAACCAGGACCAAAATTCATCTAAAATCAAGCTCTACGCCATGGACCCATGTTTGAGTGCATTTGGCTCTTTTGAATTTTCATTGCTTCTTTGTGCTTATTCTATATAGGCGTCGCTAACGCGACTATAATGCTGATCGTTTGCGGACTCGGAGGAGAACCTGAGACGGGCGAGGATCATGAGTACCGTGAGAAGTACGGAGATGACTACACTGAAGGTGCCACATCCCACCCAACCTCGTAGCACCTATTACGCATGGCTAATATAGAAATGCTAGTGCTTACTTTATTGTTATGATCACATTATGGTAGGACTTGCATGGTAGTATGCTTTCTTGATGGCCTTTACCTTGATGCAACCTTACCCTTGCTCACCCTGCTGTTAGGCTAGTCACACGCTTGCTAATATATTTCATTGCTTACTACTTCTACTACGCTTGCACTATATGGAGGCGTGGTGGAAACTGGTGTTATCTGGACCATGGGGAGAGTGCTGCGTGTGTGACTTAGGTGCGTGGAGGGTGAGGGTTGTGTCAACCAAGTTGGAGTATCTGACGAGCTTGGGGCAAGTCTTGCTGTGGTGTGCTACACTGGCACCCCGGAATGGATACTGTGGTGGGTAAATGGTATATGAGGTGGCCTTGGGTGTGATCCTGTGATGGGAGGAGCCCAGGGTGGAGGTGCTGTGGTGGCACAGTAAATGGAAACCCTGATGAAGACATTCTGGCTTGGTCAACCCTAAGGACTTACTAGTACTCAGACTCACCGGGAAGCCTTACGTACCACTCGCTCTATATGGTACGGGACGGCCGGACTACTTGGTAGGATATTACCACTACTGCTAGGTAGATAGCAAATAGTGTGAGGGAGGTACGGGGTGCGGAGGATTCCCCCCCCACACCCTTCCGAGACTTCATGGAGACCTTGTGGACCTGGCTCATGACTCACAGTTTCAGCCACCCCAGACCGGACTTGGGGTGTACCAGGGCTGAATGGTAGAGTGGCATTATCCTAGGCTAGCAAGCGGCCGGAATCAGCCTAGTTGACAACGGTCAGTGAGGAAGGCGGATCTTGTGGTTATGTAAAACCTCTGCAGAGTGTATGGTTGATCAATCGATACATATGCCGACTTGTCGGCTATGGACCTTTCCTAGGTTTCGCTTAAACTAGATAGTGAGATGAGTCTTTCTTTTCTCCCCCTGGGATGAGTGTTCGGACGTAGCCAGGGGCTACGGGCCTTGAGACAGTGCCGAGAGGGAGTTGGCCTGTCGACTGAGCGATGGAATGGGTGTGGTATGGTGATGGTGTGGATATGGTGGTATATCGATCCCAGGATCGAAACCTGGCTCTGGAATGGGAATGGGGTGGAATGTGTGAGAATGGTGTTAAAACTTGACCAACCATTATTATGTACTTGATATGCTAATACATAGGAAACCCCAGCCTTATAGGTTCCTTATTGATTATATCCAATTTGCATCCAAATTCCACAAAGCAATGCTCATGGGGATGGGAGTGGCCAGTACAAATCGTACTGATAAATTTTGGCACACATGTTCTGCTAAGGAGTATGGCTCCGATGAGTTTGACGGATGAGGGATTCGTGCCTACGCTCGAGTTTGGCGATCTTATCTTCAAGCTGTTCTGAATGAATGCTACTTTTGATTCCGCCAATGCGGCGATGTAATAAATTATGTAATTCCGCACTATTTGTACTCTGATATTATCATTGTATGGATGTGATATTCGACTGGAA